TCGTCTCTTCTCTCTTCTCTCTCTCTCTCTCTCTCTCTCTCTCTCTCTCTCTCTCTCTCTCTTCCTCCTATCCCTTCGCCGCTTCCCTTTCACCGTCTAACTCATTTTGTCGATTAACATTCCGGGCCTGTATAAGCACGAATTCTTCATTGTGTGTACCGCGTCTACGTGTAACGTCCGTAAGTTCGAACGCAAACCGAAATTCAGTCGAGCGCGTTAAAAACGAGCAAGATTGTGTTCTCCAAAGAAGGATATCGTCAGGCTGACTCGCGAGGAGTATCGAAATATTCTCTTCTGAACGAACACACGTTCAGTAAAATGACTCTGCGTAATGTTCGCTGGTGAAGAAGAAGGACGTCTCGAGGACGATAAATCCCGGCTATGTCTCCAGTTCGATTCCAAGAAACATCGAAATGAACGCACTGGAAGCGATGATCTAATCGCCGATATCCCAGTAATCGAACGGCGTGTAGTAATAGTAAGAAAATAGTCGATCGTAAATTGCCTCGGATGCAATCGAGAGAGGTGCGAAAAGGGAGGAAGGGGTAGGAGGGAACGATCACCGATAACTAAGTGCGATACTCACATAGGCGATATCGCGCGCTATTGCTGCACCGGTATCCAAATCCGTATCTTTCCGGTTTTACACCGCCGGTCGTGAAACCAGTCTTCCAGGTAATTGCGGCATAATAGCGCGAAAGAATGACCATGCGTCAAGATAGCGCGACCGGATAAACATGTAACTCTTTTCCTTTTTTCTTCTTCCAGCAGTGGGATCAGATATACCCCTAGCGTCGGCCGATCGTCGCGGTAGCAATTTCAATGGAATTAGCATAAGGCAATCGAGTTCTGCGTACAGCGGGAAGTACAGTTCCCGATGAGAATTTTTACTCGAGATCTCCGTCCGACGGCGTGTATCCTCGAACATTTCTTCAGTTTCGTCAACGCGTGGGACACGCAACAACAATCCCGTCCCCTGTTCTTCGGATATCCAGCTGAACGAAACTCGCGGGATATCAATTCTGCGATAATCAGGGCTATCAGAGGGGAGGGAACAAAGAGAGGACCAAAAACCGAACCGCGCTCGTTGGGAATTCCTCGGATTCCCGCAACGTTATCGTCTCGCACCGCCCGTGGATCACCTTCTCCTCTACGCTTCTTCGACGTCCAATTACACAAATGGCGCTTAGTGTCTGCCGCGGGCGGTATAACATCTCCCTCTTTTTTCCCCTCTTCTCGTCCCGGCCGAGTTGGTACACTTTTCATTGACGTTACCGTACCTAGTCACGATACCCGGAGGCAAAAACAAAATCTCCCGCACACAAAGCGACGACGTTGGCCGGTTGCCGTCACTGTTCATTCTTCTCCTTCTTCGCTTCATATCTCTGCCAAGGATATGACTCCCATTTTCGCGATGACACGTACTCCCGTCTCATATTCCCGCTCGCGGAAACGGACACTTTCCGCTTTTCTTTATATCCGGGATACTTTTGCATCACCGATCACAATGAAGGAATTGTCGATCGTTTGGCGAAGAGCCTTTCCATTCCGAACGATTTATCGCGAAGCGATCTTTCTCGGAGCTGTTCTTCATCGGGACCAGTCAATCCACGTTACGGTGTTTCGATTCCCACAACTCTAGGCGGGAAGGACTAGAATGCCTAAATAAATGTTTAAATTACACCGTGCATGAAAAATGAAAGAATATTCACCAGGATAACCGATGGAAGGAAAGAGAAAAAGAAAGAGAGAAAGAAAGAAAGAAGGTAAGAGATGAGAAAAAAGAAGGAGAAGAAGGATCGTTCGGAACACGCAAGTTGGAGATGATTACCCATCTCCTGAACCTATACTCGACTCTTCTAAGCCTTAGGCGAAAGAAAAAGGGCGAGGTCTTTCGTCTTCCTCTCCTCCTTCTTCCGCTTCTTCCACCGCGTTCTCGTCTTCCCCGCGGTTTCTCGCTGTATTCTTAAACGTCTGCCACTTTCATTACGCCGGCGTATTTTGCGTTTCCTTTCGTTTATCGACTCGTCCGGTCTAATCTTTATCGGTCGCTTCCTCGGCTGCGCGCGCGTGAAAAAAAATAATGGAAAGATGTATTCACGCGTCAGATTTTATATATTCTCTTCCGCGCCATCGTACATCGGCGTGGCGCGTAAATCACGGAACAAAATGGGAAGATAATAACGCGCGCGCGAGTAAAATCTAACGATGAAAAACACATCCACCGAGAGATCCCGTTCGTTTTCCTCGAGGGGAAACAAATGAAAGAACGTCACGGTTCGCAACGCCAGTGGGAAACCGTCCTCCCGATTTCAATCTCACCTGATTTAACCGGCGTGCAACGCGTACTTCTCGCGATTGCACCAAATCAAGAAATTAATAATTTATTTTATACGTACATGCGCGTTTACAAGTGCCGACATTGACGTATCGTAAGTAACATGAACGTTTTCCAGAGCTCGAACCTGGGCCAGGAATTGTTGGATAGAGTATTCAAGCATCTCAACTTGCTGGAAACCTCCTATTTCGGATTACGCTATCTCGATCACGGGAATCAAACGGTAGGATACAGTCCATATAATCTACAATCTCATAGCAAATTACTCTTGATTTTCTAAGTAATTATAAGTAACATAATTTAAAGTCAAGATCGAGCGTGAAGAGATCGAGATTGGAAGCTTTTCGTTGCGTTAAAATGTGTTGATCTTGATGCTAAAATAATTATCCTGCTGAAAAACGTAATTGGCAACGGTGGCAACACGTGTTTTAGCAATGGCTCGACCAAAGCAAAAAGCTCGGCAAGCAGCTGAAGATCCATAAGGCAGATCCTGGATCGGATGTTCACACTCTCTACTTCGGTGTCAAATTCTACGCGGCAGATCCGTGCAAACTCATCGAAGAAATTACCAGGTACATCTCCAGAGATCTTCACATGTACTTCTATTTGAATAACTCTTAAAAATCTCTTTCAATGTATGCTGTATGTATCACGTGATAGCAAGTTCGTATTCGGTTCAAGATCGACGGGTGAATTTTTTCTTTTTTTTAAATAACTTGTGTATAATCGTCCTGGAAAATCTTGTTTTAGCTTTTCGCGATAATAACGCGATATATATTTTGAGAATCCTCAGACGCAACGTCGATGAGGATATCGAAAAATCCTCGGCGAGAATCGTTCCAGCGCGCACACGATATGCGGATAATACGGATGATTTTTATTCGGTGTCACGCTCCCGTGCAAACGATCCTTTCACGCTCGGCGTCTTGAAATTCTAGGAAATTCCAGGGACATCACGGTACATCGCGGACGCATGAGAATTCCACGTGCGTCGAATTTCTTCAGACGCTTCTTCTTACGTACAACATGCATACACGCGTACGCACGCGTGCCTCGCGTCAGCGTTTCTCTCGCGACGCGTTTTATCCGCTCGTGCGCCCGCGCTTCCACCAATCCATACTTGATTCCTGCATTCTGCGGCGCGCGCGACGAAACCTGTAGAAAGATTACTTGCTTCAACGTGTTTTGATACGTTTAGCCTTCGTTTTGTATTTTAAAGTTGTTATTACGACGAAATGAAGAGAGAGAAAAAGAAAGAAATGGAAAATCAATAGCATGATTTCTGACTTGTATTTACAGGTATCAGTTCTTCCTGCAAATAAAGCAAGACATTCTACAAGGAAGACTGCCCGTATCCTTCGATCTAGCTGCAGAATTAGGAGCCTACGTTGTTCAGTGTAAGATGTGTTGTTTTTTTATGTAAGAGTTAATAATCAATGATATATATTCAACAATAAAAAGGAAAGGCCATAGTTTTTGCCGCTTAATAATCTTTTTATATATAAATTCAAAGGTAAGAGGATTATATTAAGCATCAAAGATTCTGCTTTCTCGAGTATTGCAGGTATTCTTTTCTATTCTTATATAAGACGCTTATTTATTATTTCAACTCATATATATGTATTTGGATGAATTTATCTTAAGAAGAAAAATGGATAAAGCATGAAAGTCGCACGGAATACGCGCGTTCACAAAAAAACGCAGTGAATATGAAAATTTACATATATATAGCAAGACGCAGCTAAACGCGAGCAAACAGAACGCGACGCCGGTGGTCCACTGGTTAGTTATCTGTTGGCGAGATTCAAAGTCGTACAGATAGAAAAAGGGAAGGCAAACTGAAATGTACCGTGTTTGCATCTCATCGCCATCAAAAGAGACGAAATGAATATCTCTTCTTCCCATTCAACGATAATACACATATATACAGCGAGAAACGGAAAAGAGCAAGTGCGCGAAAGAGAAAGGCGAAATGGGGAAACAGAGTGAGATAAAAAATGCATTTCTTTTTTCGCAATATTATCGCAACCATTACAGCGCAATGAAATTCTGCATTTGACAATTTCGCGGTTATTTACTTTATACAGCGATATTTCAAGCGGCTACGATTTGATTTTTTTAGATCTAAAATCTTTTATACGAACGTGGACAGAATTTGAATCAATGCAAGTTTCTCTATGTACACGCGATGTAATCAACTTTTTTCAATTCTGTTCGAATAACGCATTTTCGACCTTTCAGCGGAGCTTGGGGATTATGATCCTAGACGACACTCACCCGGATACGTCACTGAATTTCGATTCCTCGCTAACCAAACCACGGAACTGGAAAACCGCATAGTAGAGATTCACAAAACTCTTATGTATGTCAATCATGATGTTTAGTATTCAAATAGCGTTCATTGAAACTCCGACGCATTTACAATGTGATATTTTTACATTATAGACAAGCGAGATCCCTGAAACCATAACTTACATAGTTTCTTCTTTATTTAGTTACATTACGTAACATTACTCTTTAGTTCTAACATTTAAATCCTTATGAGAAGGAATATCAGAAAATCGAATCATGCGACTAAAATTCTGAGAACACATATTTTTATTTTAAAGGGGTTAATATTAATTAGTATTTTTATCGAAAAACTCGCAAACAGATTTCATATAATAAAATTTCATAAAATAAAGATATAAGATATAAGATTTCATAAAAAATATATTAAATTTTTTTTAAATTTAATTTTTGAACAAATCCGTATTTATGATTTTTTTCAGAGGACAGTTACCTTCAGCAGCGGAATTAAATTATCTGGACAAGGTGAAGTGGCTGGAAATGTATGGAGTAGATTTGCATCCCGTGCTGGTACGTAGGTGTATTATTGTCGACATGATTAACATCGCTCGCGTTAATCTCGTAAAATCGTACAATTTTCAGGGCGAGGATAGCGTGGAATATTTTTTGGGTTTAACACCGAGCGGAATAATATTGCTACGCAACAAAACCAAAGTGGGGAATTATTACTGGCCACGAATTAACAAGATTTACCATAAGGTAATTTCTGTAATATTAGCTAGTTAGTTAGACACGTTGTTTCTCTCTTTTTTTTAAAAATGCTCAATTCTTGAATTTATTCTGCTTTTATAACAAGACAATGAAATGTTTATATAAGAATATAATACGGTATTATGCGTTGATTTCTTTTCTTATCTCACGATATATTGAACGATATACTGAAACGAATTATATCGATTTCCAGGGCAGATACTTCATGCTGAGAGTAAGCGAAAAAAATTCCGAGGAGAGAACGCACGGCTTCGAGACGCCATCGAAAGGAGCCTGTCGTCACCTTTGGAAATGTTGCTTGGAGCATCAAGCTTTTTTCCGACTGATGGCGACCGGTCCGCCGCCTCTCAGTCCATACTCTCGTTTTCATTCGTACAGTCCTCCATCCACTTTGGAGAAGCACGCAGCTATTAGACGAAATCCACCATCATTCCAAAGGACACCCAGTCGTAGAGCGCAAAGACGGGTCGTCGAAGGACAAGAGATGGTTGGTTCGTTCGTCGAGACTCCCGTCACCGTGATCTCGAATCCAGGCAACAATTCATCCAGCGGCAATATATTGTGCAATACGCAACGGCAGGTGAACTCTTCGAGTCCGAGAAGCACGAGAAGCGCGCCGTGGACGCAAAGTCAGCCCCGCGGTCTCTACACCTCGTCTAGTCCTCGCTCTGTTCGCTCCGCGGGAACGGCGCCGGCAGTTAGTTGATATATCATGTTTGTGTTTCAATGGTTATGCTTGATCCGTCGCAAAGTTGATTGCAATTGTTGTTGATTAATTGTTGTTCGCTCACACAAGCATCATACATACGCCTGACATGTGAAAGAGTTAATTTTGTTGATAGGTCGAGCATGTCCGCATTTGAAAATTTCCGCATTTGAATTGTTTATTAAATGCTGTTTGTTGACGTAGCTCTTAAGTAGACTTCAACGTCGAAGCAGCTCAGTGGAGAGCCAAAGTTCGGGAGATAGTCATAGTCGCAGCGGTCATCGTAGGCGAAGTCACAGTCATAGTCATCGTCGACATAGTAGGCATTCCGATTGTGAGTCTGAGTTGTCGAGGAGTTCGGATACGAGATCTGGTCACCGCAAACATCGTCGAAAACATAGGAACTCTCGCTCCTCCAGGTACTTTTATGTATTAATTTTACGCTACGTTCGCTCTCATCGCGATAATATCTTGTTCTCATGATTGTTTCATAAATAAAGTACCTTCATAATAAATTCAAATCGCGAATCCTTATGAGTATTAATGTATAATTAAAACAGTTTAATGATAATGAGTCTCGTTCCCATCAACGATGAGGTTCATTGGCCTTTGTTAGCATCATCATTATTATTTTGCATATATTTTTACATAATAAAACAGATTTTTTTCTTTTGTTATAATTTTTCATACGTGTCATAAGATGAAATTAATCTGATAAATATTAATTCAATTTAATGATTTTATTTCTCGCAGTAAACACGAGTTGGTAGATTCGGAACCGCAATGGAGAGAGGCGCAGAAACGGAAAGGGGAAGGTGTACAGAAAGCCATCGTAAGTATCGTTATTGGATCGGCATTGGTATACAAGTGATTGATTTATAATATTTGACTAGCTGATATTCCGTAGGTAAGTCATACAGAGCCTCGAAGAAGACACAGAAGCAGACATCGAAGTCCTTCTCAAAAGCAGCCGTTACCGGATGAACTTCGAAAGTACATATTGTATATCTGAAATTCTATGAGCGTTATAGCGTCGCGTTTTAAGAAACTCGCAACAGACTTCCAATAACTGCGAAGACCAATATTTTTTTTTAAATATGAATTACAAATTCGTTGAAAATTTCTATTTTCATTAATTTATTCTTACTCTCATAAGTATCATTCATCGATACGTTTTGTGAATAATATTAAAACTATATATAACGTGTTTTTTCAGACATTTGGAATTTGGCCTAGTCGATACTAGTGGGATGAGCGAGCAGCAACGTCGAGAGATATCCTACACGGTAGTACAGTCGCAGTCTGTACAGCAATCTCCCTTACAGTCTACAAATTCTCGATTGGACGATACAGACTCATCGTCCCTGCCTAGGTACGATGATCTCAAGACGGCCTGCAATCTTCACAACCATCCTCCGCAATTGGAGGATGAAACGGGATCAGTAGTCATTGTTTAATTATTCCCCCCCCTCCCCTTTTACTCCCTACCGATCTCTCGTGCATGTATTTTTTTATTTATTTCGAGCATGTCGATATTATCTACTTTAAGCATGCCACTCCGTATTATTTATTTGAAGCATGACGAGCCCTTAATAAATAAGTGAAATTAACTGCTTGTCGCACCTGTTTATTTTTACATCCTAGCTGTGGCACTCACTCGCTTCTGGCTGTGTTCCGTGAAATTTCAAAAAGGCGATGCGTGCCGATTGCCTTCGTACTGGGGTCGTATTTATTTTCGTGTGTTTTATTTTCTTATGCATTATGTATATTATACGGTATGCGCCATGTACTTGTGTAATAAATATTGGTATCTGGGAGAACGGATGATATCAACGTTCGAGACTCGAAACACCTCATGTTCCGTATCTTTCTTACGACATTCCTCGTATATCCCATTCGATTTCCCACACGTATATTTTTTTTGCAGTCTATTTTTTATTAAATTACGTTCCAAAATGCGCCACAACACAAGTCCACAAAAAAGCGAATGCATTAATGAAATCTAGGATCGAATTTATGTTAAATTTTGAGAACATCGTGTGCATTGTGAAAGTACAGCCAATGTTATGTGTATATTAACTGTTTATATTAAAACAAAAAAAAGAAACGCATCGATCTGAGTCGAGTACAGTGGTCGCTAAAATGACTGAGGTGCTAGACTGTCAAGGATTCCCTTTCAGAACTGTTGGATCCGTTGGCAAAAGAGAGAGAAGACTCATACGGCATTATCGTGATGGGAGTTATAACTTGCTGTCGGCAACGTCCAATCGAATCGAGGCAAAGTCTCCCGAGGCTCGAAACGAATATAGCACAAGGAGGGACTTTTATTATACTCGTAACAATCGAGTGTCAATAGGCAATAACGCGGACAGTGGACTCGGGGAAAGCACGCCGCAGGATTTTTCAAGCTGCTGCTCAAGTTCTGCGGACAGCAATAAACCTATTCATGTAGTACGTATCCTAGTCTGCTCGCATTTTATTATTAATATTACTTTGCTTATGTCTGTTTTGAGACAAGCGATATTTGAACAACAATCGAGCACATTTTATAATCTTATTTTACAAGTACGACGAGTAAACAATTTATGAATTTATTTCGTATATAATTCGCGCTTACTTGTAAAAAAAAATTTAATATCACACGTACACACACATTTTCATAGAAAAACAAATATTTCTTTAGATTCATATAGATAGATATGGCTAAGGTTTCTTACTCGTTACAAGTTTCGGCTTTCGATTACGTTAAAAGTTTATAAGATCTCAGCGTTTAATATCGCGCATATCTTTTCTAGCGACACACGATTCTCGTATATGCATGCTAACAATTACATGCGTAGCTTCATTTTATGATGTAATAACATAATGCGGAATGATACTGTTCTCTAAATAGTAGATTAGTAAAACGGTTTTGTTTGGTATAGACACAATTGCAATTAGGGGGAGAGGTACATTATGAATTACCTTCAAATCAAGAAATCTACCCTCCTGTCGATACCACTCTGGATGCTGTTCTCCAACCCATTATATCGTAAGTGCTTGTTTTTGTCGCTTTGTGCTTTCCCTCTTACTCGAGTATTAAATCAGATCTTGATTCGATTCGTACCTGGCTTTATTAATATCTAATACATTAATGCACATACTCAATGACATACTTTGGACATAGATATCAAAAAAGTCAATATATTATAAATGTTGAAAAATGTTATTCTCTAATATTACACTTTCGCTTATATAATATCTCTTGTTTAATTTACATGTATGTATTTGATTGTTTCAGAACATTAACGAGGAGGCAACGGAGCCACCCGAAACAATCGTAAAATTTTAATACAAAATAAAACAATTGTATATTCACATGTTAAGATGATGTTCATACTTTAAGCGAAAATTAATATTTGTGAATCACGCAATTGTTAGATCAATGTGAAATAGAAGAGAACCTTGTTAAATAAAAGTACCATATTGTAGTCTTCACAATGAACATATTCTTGCATACGAATCTTGTTTAATTTGTTTAACTGTCTTTTGATGCCATGTGTCTCATGAGATTACCTATAAATTTTTCCATTTTTTTTAAATCTTGAGCTATTTCTGTTCTATATTGGAGGCACTGTAAACAATTTTCATTATTATTTCATATACACTATTTCTTATTGTATCCTTAAAAACAGAAATTCATATGGCAGAATGCATAAATAGCTCATGTCCTTCAAATATGATAAGATTCATTCATAAGATATATGTTTAAAATTGCTTACCCGTCGATTGTCTGTTAGTTTTAAACATAAAACTCCTTTACTATGACAATACTTCATCGTATACCGAGTCTGAAACAAGACAAAAAGAAATATTAATGCATAATACAATTATTCAATGATATTATATTTGTAATGACTTAATTTATAATATTATATGCCAAATACTATTACATTATTAATATTCCTCAATGCATTTTTTGGCTTTTTATCATAATACTGTCACTATAACGCGAGCAATCTACATTAAATTTTCTAAAAGAAATATATATGTCTTGTACATCATGCATCGAATATTTCAAATTCAAGATAAATATTATTAGTTAAAATTTATAGAAACAAATATTTCATTTATATTCTTATTAATTCTTAGTTAGCAATTATGAGATGCACTGATAATTCATTACAACTTCAACAACGGGCTGAGTGTAAAACATCAAAGTATAAGTGAGTTTTTTCAGTATGCGCTGCCATAATTTCAAGTTACATGTACAAAAAATCTGCATTGGGAAATCCTCGTATCGCAAAGTATCAAAAATATAAAGGTACTAAGGACTCCAAAGACAACAAAATTTGATAAAACATACGTTCATTGGGTCTTGGAGATATAACCTCTCAGCACCTCTTTCGAATTCCTCCCACGAACTGAGATATGTCATCGTTATAACCGATGGGATAAACGCACAGTTTATTCACGTTAAAAATTACGTAAAGATCACCAAACAATCTTAAGCGACCCTAAACAGTCCCAGACAGTCTCAGTCTCAGAACATCTCACAAGAAACAAACACTTGCAAGATCATTACCGAATGTCAGATTGTCACGTGGAAGTGCCGGAGTATTTTTCGACGGACCGAGATGACTGTTTTCAGGTTACTCTCTGAAGAGTTTTGGAACGCAGCGCGATATTGCAAGTAAAGGAGCGAATCGATCGATTGCAATCGGGAATGCAGTTGCCATTTCGAAACTCTCGGTTATGATTCGAGACACTGCTCAAGATTTCTGAATCCAAGATTTCAATCTTCTTTCTTTCTTTTTTTAATCGAGAAAATATAAAGCACTATGCTTTCAATCACGGGCGTATCCATGGCGGAGGTTATTATTTACAAACATTTTTCCTAACATTTTTCCTAACATTTTTCTCATTCAAAATCAGAAATGAGGAGATAAGCTCCAAAATATTCATAAAGATAATTCATTAACATAAAAAAATTGCTATTTATGTGTTAACAAAATTGATAAAACTTTACCCCTCCCTCTCTCCGAAAAAATCCTGGATCTATGCTTTCAATTATACCAGGAACAGGTTGGCCCCACTTCCTTGGGAGCTGAAAAGTGCATATCTTAAGTGTATAACTTCACGAATATAAGCAATCGAGAGTAAACACCGTTCACTTCAGTTCATTTCACTTGCGCAGGTATGGCGGCCTATCGAAGTTACGTACTCCAAAAAAACCGCAAGCATTTTGTATTGGATATTGCAAAAATCTGTCTCGAGAAAATGTCGAGGCACACCAGAGCGTTTTAATAAAGAATAGTTAACTTGGACACACATCTTTCGAGATCTTCAAAATTCCATAAAATTATTAAAAATATCGAGAAAGAATATATATCTGACAAAAAGTAATGATAGTTGAAATTTAAAAAGATGAAAATTATTGAGAAAATATATTCTGGTAAGATCAAGCCTAAGTTATAATAATAATTATTATGACTAATAATAAATAAATAATCAATTAATATATTATACAAGTATATATTATTATATTTATTATTTTATTAGTATATATTAATGATTAATATATTTATTTAATTACAACAAAAACGCACGCCTGTGAAGTAAAAAAAAATAGATTTTAATTAATCTTTTTTCGGATATTTAAGTAGCATGGATATCATAGCGAAAAAAAAGACATGAAAAGTTGAAGAAATACAGGATACAAAAGAAGCGGTAGATCAAGAAAAGAAAAGGATTAAACAAAATCCATGACGGGAAGAGAGACAAGGAAGGAGTCGAGCAAGACAAGGTACAACCCCCACGAGACGGAGGATCGAATCTCAGCGGTGATGGTGTTGTGCCGCTGATCGCCGGTGGAGTCTTTCAGTTTCTTTTGGACCGCCGTGAGCGCGGGCAGCGGATGCCGATCGGCGCGATGCGCGTGTGAAAGTTCGCCGCGTGCAAATCCTCTACATGTGCGGATCGTCCGGATGAGAGACGGAAAGGAGTAAGAGAGAAGGAGAGAAGGACGGAGAAAGGTATAATTACGCGATACACGACGAACATGTAAAAATCGATGAACGGGATCATTCAACCGGGCACAGGTATCTCTCTCCCTCCCTCCTCCTTTTCCGCGTGTCTTCAGAACGACCTGACGATCGCACGCGCGCTTCACGCGAGCTGCGGCCGCGAGCACTTAAACACTCGTTAAGAAAAGCAAGAGGGAAACGTGTCTGTCCAACTACTTTGTTATTCGCCACGCGAGAAATCACCGCGAACTCTCGGTGCTCCGTGAATGTTACTTAATCGATGATAGCGTAAGTCACTCGTAACTTTCCTTCTTTAGGCTCCGAATGCTTTTCATCCGACGGTGTGTCGCAATCGGTATGTCGGTCCTTCGTTCCTCATGTAACCAGTTTAGATCCGACCCGGATACGCAGATTGGATATGGTCTGAAAATGAGAGTATCAACTTCGGATGTTTGGCGGTTTGCTTTGCGGCCGATCCGCGGGGATACTTGAGTCGGCGCGAGATGACGAGATCGACGAGATCAAATCACGAAACCTTCCTCCCATCGATTCGAACGTTCGATTACGTTTCGCGCGGAGCTCTCGGATGTTCCACGCGACTACCAGTCGTGGATTGGAATCGGAGAATTGGGGAGACGTCGAGGGAGATCTCTCGCAGGCGACGCGATGTGGAACGCGCGATGCCGCAAACGCGTTTGCGCGACCGCCGCCGGGAATCCATAAAATGATTAGAGACATTCGCGCGAAACTTTCGATGGCGCGAAAGCGACCGCGGGGATCTTTTGGATTTCCCGGTCGAGCCGCGAGATCAAGCGAGCGAGACGAAACGGCGTGGCCGGCGACGATCTTTTTTCCATCGACGGCCCTGAATGAGTGCGAGTGAAAGTCCGTGAGTCAAATATTTTTCGCGGTTTCGTTTCGCGCCGGCCGCACACTCGGCAGCGGCCACATTGTATGAGCGTGCGTGCGTGCCTGCTTGCTTGCCTGCCTGTCTGTCTGTCTGTCTACTCGCGTGCCTACCTGTGTGTAATATCTTTCTTCACATGCATAAATGTAACACCGTAGAAAGGCCGTAAAACTCTCCGAGGAGAAAATATGTTAAGATCGCGCGGGCTATTTCTCTCACGTGACGCTCACCGGCGATCGATGCATTTAAGATGTTAACATTCATTCTACCCGGCTCGAGTTTAGAATGAGTCCCAGTTGCAGTTTTATTATTCCAGACGTGCGAAAATGTATTTATTCTCATACCGGTTTGCTTGATCGCCCTAACCCACGTATATCGTATCCACGTAAACAATGAATAATTGGCGTCTCCGCGTCTGCTCTTTTCCCTCATCTCGTCTCTGACGCTTATGTAAAGTATTACATTACAACTCGTTACGTGACGTGTATATATAAAAAATATGAACGCGAAACATCGATCTCGAATTGCGAATTAACAGGTCGAATCGACGGATTTAGAAAAAAATTTGTGAAAGTGATCGCGTTTATCAGAGACATTCCGAACGTATCAGTGGAGAATTACTGTCAGTCGCGATTGTAACCGATCAATTTACGTGGGTGGCTCGTTTCTCCTTCACGCAGAGCTTTTGTTAATGTACATGATATTCTAGGGTGCACGATTGTAACACATAAACATTGGCGAACGTGCCGTGCCGATGTGAAAGCGGCTGGCTGCTGACCGTCTGGCTGCCGATGATGGAATGTACGACGACCCAGAGTTACAGCATGTGCATTGATCCACGTATCCTAGGTAATTACAAACATACAAGCAGCTTTTGCTTGTGAGGTAACACGTATGTTGAGATCCCGGACGTTGATCCGTGCGAACGGCCGGCCGTTGATTCGCCGACAGCGGAGTCGAAAGTCGTAACTTTAAAGGAAGAAGAAAAAAAGAAAAAGAAAGAGACGAAGTGGCGAGCAGGTAATTAAATGTCGTGTCGCACATATGTGGCAAACGACACGCAATGGAATTTAACGCAACGAACACAAAGGGCACTTTCCAATACTCAAGTTGACCTAATTCGAAAGCGGGCTATTCTCGCATATATCCGCTTTCTCTTCTCCTCGTATGTCACGTTGACGAAATTTGACACGTCGTCGGAGAGGAGTCGCCTCGTGCCGCGGGTACCGATAAAATGGGGGAGAGCCAGGGGTGGAGGAGAAGAGGAATGTAACATTCGCGTCGGGAATAACATGAGATCGAAGAAAAAGGACGACGATGACCTCCATTAACGTTCGACACGTTCCGAATAACGTAATAGGCGGCTTTACGTCGGCCGATTTCTTACGTGAACAACGAATGTGAAAGCGACCTTGAAACGCGGATCATCCGTCGCGCGTTCGATAAAATCGTCCGGTGAAATACACGTGTGCGCCTTTACACGTAAGACGAGCGTGATTCGCTTTCAATCGAAAGAAGGACCGATGTTTCATGTTGACCTGTAGGAAGTCACGAGGTCCGTCGATACCGAAAGCGCAGCTGATCGAGCATGCGGCGACGGTTGTTGGCCTTTGATGAGCCTCCGATCTCTGCGGTAGCATCCGAATGCCACCGAGTGCCGTCGGGGGATGCG